TAATGTTTTTGTTTATGCACAATGATTCTAAATAACACTGCATGTATGTCTGTGTGCTTTGATCTTATTGTGTTTGTTAATTTATAGAGTGTGTTTATTTATGTACTTCTTGTTTTCTATTTTTGGTTACAGTTGGATCCTCGTATACTGGTACTGAATTAGCACCTGTAAAATAATCAAAATTTTTACTTGTATAACTGACAATAAAGCATTGCATTAGGTGATCACCATCATCACATAATTGTGAGCATCATGTCTTACTTTCTATTCCTCTGACAGTAGCAGGTTCATAGCTAGCATTAGCAATCATATCATCATGTACATTCAATGTAGGTTTTGCTTCATCATATAAAACTATAAAAAATTAAAATTACTATCATACTTAGGATATGTACCTAATCATGCATTAATTATATAGTTGTGTTAGTAGTAAAAGTACATTATTTACTATGAATGCTCCCATTATGTATACCTTGTAGTTGATAGTTTGGATTGTTTACAGCACCAAGTCTTCCTTTATCATTCCCAGTACTACTAACATCAGTATAAACATGACTACTATTACTATCATTCCTAGTAGATGATATAGGTAGTGATAATTTCCTCTTTTTTCTAAACAGCACCACACTGACAATCAATATTACTAGTATAGTAACTACCAGTAGTACAATGACTGCACTAATAGCTGCTATTAGTATTGTAGATAAACCATTTCCTGCATTGCCTTGTTCTGATGGTGTTGAAGTCACTGTAGTGCTTAGTGAGGAAGTAGTATACATTGCCATTCTACTACTAGATGAAGTGGTATCTGATGTAGCTATTGAGGATATGGTTGATGCTGTAATGTAATTAGGTGTACCAGTGGTAATTACTGATGTGGGATCTAATGGGAGAATTATTAATAATAATGCCAAATAAAAGTTATTCTTACCTACTACAACTGAGATGAGTGGATAGTCATTGTTGTCTAATGCAATTAACTCATTGTTGTCCCCCAGTTTGTAATTGTGTGGTCCATTGTATTGTTGATAGAACATCTGATGTGTAGCATTACCTTCAATCATCAGTATATCACCAGGTTGAACTGTTATCTCATTGCTCATAGTAAAATTATATAGAAGAGAAGTTATGATAACAGCATTACTAGCACTAGTGTTCAATGTTGCTGCTGTAGTAGTGAGATTATTTGAATGTCCTATTTTAATTACTGGCATAGCTTGATCAGGAACATAAACTATCCAGTTAGTAATGATACCATGACATGTGAACCTTATATCAGGAAATATTCTAGTATCAGAAACATAATATGAATCAGTAATCAAGCTTATAAAGTTAGCTATATTTTCAGGCATAGGTTGTGTGAAGCAACCTACATTTATAAAATACATACAAAATATTATTAGTATTAATATTAATATTTATTTACTTGTATTCTGAGCTATTGGGTATATTAATATATTCCATGTTTTGTGGTGAACGTTTTTACCTCCTCCTGCTATTGTAATGTTAGTATCATTAATTCTACCTGATTTTACTTTTCCTGCTCCATGAATACCACCAGGCAGGTCAACATAATGAAATCTAACAACACTTCTGTCATCAGGAGGTTGATATACACCAATCCTGTATCCACTGGAGACATTTAATGGAGTAGGGAGAGTGAAACGATACTGTCCATTAGTTGTAAAGTTATCAGGAGTCAGTCTGATTTCAACAGACATCACTCTAGTGTACACATCATCATCATTAGTTGGAGCCCATACTTCAAATCTTGGATATAAATTTCTACCAACAGTATCATTAACTGTCCTTATATCAACTCCAATCAATATTTCTAGTACAACTGTAGCACAAGTAAACATGATATCTCTCTTCATAAAGTTCTCATCTTCTTGATCCTCAATAATAATCCATCTTGTCGCAGTGCTTTCAGTTAGTCTGTTATTACGTGATCCTGATGGATTTGTTGCTTTACCCTGTAGAAGACTATAATCCATAAATCCTTCAGTACAAGACTCTCTATTAACCTCCAGTAATATTCCATTACTCATGAAGCACAGCAGTATTACTAATAGAAGATCGAGAAGATAGGAAGACATTTCTTCGAGAGTTTAGAAATTCTGTGAACCACACCCAGCTCTAATAAGGAAGAGAGTTATAAGTAACAACTCTAGTCAGAAACAGAGAAGTTGGCATAAGGGATATGCCTATAACAAAATCAAAAGCCCATTTTGGGGAGCCTACAATGGTTTTTGACATTAAATACTAGCTCTAGACTACAATGGATGATTTTGGTCTTGTTTGCATCAGTTGAAATTGCTTGAAAACTCACAGAATCTCACACATTGTGTGTGTGTGGGTGTGTGCACCATTTGTGGCTATCATTTAAAGTGCTATTGGTTTTAGCAATGTTAACTAGATTATTTTGATTAAAAATAATAGTACACACATGACTATGTCATTGTAGAAGGAAGAAGGTGCAGTTTGTTGCTTTGTCCATATGCTTCATTTTGCCTTATTTTAACCTAATATATATTGACTGAATATGCTAAAAAACATCAGTAAAACACTGATGGTACTGATTTAACAATAAATACATGATTACAGTACATTCAATACACTGCATGTACTGATGTATTCTATACGTATGTACAAAAACTTACCTCTTGTTCATGATACATTGTTCTTGGTTCATCATACACTAATGATTCTTCATTGATACCTATAGTTCAATACAACAATAATCCTTTTAATAATACTTATCTAAACAATTACCAGTACATACAAATTGCCATTGCTCTGTTCGCATAAAACATAATAAATTTGCTCAATTAAAAATATTATACTATTCTTACAATTACTTCTCCACTCAACTCCATACATACTATTACTTTCTATTCCTCCAGTATTAAAACCATAAGCAGGAATAGCAGAGACACCAGATTCTATTGATAGTTGTATTAATTAAGGTGGGGCCAGACTAGATAATAGTCTAATCTTACTTTCAGTAATACCATAGGCAGGATTAGCAGATACATCAGTATTATACCCTATGTTATGATGTTAATATCATTATTGTACTTATATATAGGTCTTACTTTCACCAATAACTCCATATAGGTAGGATTAGTTGATGCTAATAGTGTATTCTGTATTTTATCTATATTTGGTGCTATAAATAATTGAAATTATTGAGGACATTAAATGGGAGAGTTTATTGCTATTAAAGAAACTGGCCATAGATTATTAGTTTATTACTTTCTAATCATGAAATCAAAATTAACAGCTATTATAACTGATCTAAAAAGAGGTGAGTATTGATATATTTATGTCATTAACATTGTTCCTGTTATATGTACAGTTCTTCTTCTTCTTCTTTCAATTGTTGATGTGCCTCATCTGTTACTATAATATCCTACCAATGTAATTAATATAATAGTTACCAAAGGCCATGGTGTACGACTTTTTGTGAAGTATATAAGCATTGTATTAGACAGGTCTTCAATTCAGTTTTATAAGATACTTACCTCTTGTTCATTATGCATCATTGTTCTTGGTTCATCATATACTTGATCAATATCTTTAATTCAAAGTAATTATGTCACTCACACACACATACACACATGCAACACAAATATTTCTCTACAAGTTATCTCCATGCATATACACTAGATCTATCATGTACATACTTTCTATTCCTTCAGTGTTAACACCATAAGCAGGATTAGCAGAGACACCAGATCCTAATAACAATATGATAGATGTATATATTAAGTCTATCTTACTTCCAGCAATACCATAAGCAGGATTAGCAGATACATCAGTATTACAGTCTATGTCATGATGTTAATATTTTAAGATAGTATGTTTAATCTTACTTTCTTGTTCCCCAATTACTCCATAAGCAGGATTTGTTGATGCTAATAATATATTCTGTCCTCCATCCATTTTTAGCACTATATAAATTGAATTGATAGTTTTAATAAACACTTATTATAATAAACATTACCATCTGATTGTTGATTTATATCAGCTTTTCTTTCATCAGAACTGAAAGTATCATTTCCATTTGATGTTTTATACAATCTTCTCCTACACACTAATACACTCACTATTAATATTACTAGTATAGTAACTACCAGTAATATAAATACTGTACTAATACTTCCTGCTAGTATTAGTGTATTACTGTCAGTACTTTGTAATGTACTAACTGGTGTACTCATCATTGAGCTTGTTAATGCACTAAAAGTATCTATTGGAATATTACCTATTGAAGTAGTAGCAGATTTTTGTGGACTTTCTGTTGATTCCATTGTTGCAGCAGCTGTGGAGTAGAATCCATAGCTGCTTGATGAGGCAAGATCAGTATTTGTATGTACACTAATTGTTGAAGTAGCAGTAAATAATGATGTTATCGTATTGAACGGCTCTATATGGTAACAGAAAAAAATTATAATGCCAAATAAAAGCTATTATATATTCTTACCTACTACAACTAAGATAAGTGGATAGTCATTGTTATCTAATGCACTTAACTCATTGTTGTCCCCCAGTCTGTAATTGTGTGGTCCATTGTATTTTTGATAGAACATCTGATGTATAGTGTTACTTTCAATCATCAGTATATCACCAGGTTGTACTGTTATCTCATTGCTCATAGTAAAATTATATAAATTCTGAGATATGCTAACAGCATTACTAGCACTAGTGTTCAATGTTGCTGCTGTAGTAGTGAGATTATTTGAATGTCTTATTTTAATTACTGATACTAATCCAGGACCATAAACTATCCAGTTAGTAATAATACTATGACATGTGAACCTTATATCAGGAAATATTCTAGTGTCAGAAACATAATATGAATCAGTAATAAAATAACTTAATGAATTGATTAGAACATCAGGTACAAATTGTGGAAAACAACCTAAATTGATAGAATGATCTATTCAATTATGATTGATTTATTACATACTTGTATTCTGTACTATTGGAGGTATTAGTATAGTAACTTCTTCATAGTCAACATGTCGACCTCCTCCTGATATTCTAATTTCATTGTTGTTAATGCCATTTGATCGTACTTTTCCAGTTCTATCACGATCAACAAAGCCTGGTAGGTCAATGTAGTGAAATCTAACAACACTTCTGTCATCAGGAGGTTGATATACACCAATCCTGTATCCACTGGAGACATTTAATGGAGTAGGGAGAGTGAAACGATACTGTCCATTAGTTGTAAAGTTATCAGGAGTCAGTCTAATTTCAACAGACTCCACTCTAGTGTACACATCAGTATGATTAGTTGGAGCCCATGCTTCAAATTTTGGATATAAATTTCTACCAATATTATCATTAACTGTCCTTACATCAACTCCAATCAATACTTCTGTTATAACTGTAGCACACGTGAATTTTATGTTGTCCTCAATGATAATCCATCTTGTTGCTACATCCACCACAGGGTTCTCATAGCTAGATAATCTGTTATTACGTAAATTTCCCATTGGATTTATTGCTTTACCCTGTAGAAGACTATAATCCATAAATCCTTCAGTACAAGACTCTCCATTAGCCTCCAGTAATATTCCATTACTCATGAAGCACAGCAGTATTACTAATAGACAACAGACACACATTACTTCAACAGAGAGCCTAACTAGATAATGAACAAACTGAAAGTTGTGTGGGCTTGAATGTAGATCTAGGGCTGTATAAACATCCCGTATATGTCATCTAAGCAATGACCCATTAAATTGGACATTTTAAATTTTGTGTTGGGGCTTACTATGCAATGATAGTAGATCTGTTACTATAATATCATCAAAGCAATGTAACAATTTTGTTGTCTGCTTTGTGTTCCTATTGCAAATTTTCTTTTTTATTTTTTACTGGACACTAGTCTATAAATCTTAATAGTTATACGCTCACAATTAGATAAGTATGATAACTGAGTATATTAGACACATGTTATGTTGTGAAAGCTATACTTTATTGAGAAAGTAGTAACAAGCATAAGAGACCTTATGACTATTGGCAGTGAAATTATGACATCTGGTGTAACAGGTGTATACTCATAGTAATCTACTATTAATAAAATTTTATGTACAAAATAAATAAAATAAATAATTCACTCTACCCTTCCTTTGACTCTACACCCTCCCCCTCCTCCAATGTCTCTCCATCATTACTGTCCTCAAAACTATGCCATCCCATTTTGCCGCACGTCCTCCTATCTACATTCCTTCCTTCCTTCAACTATAAAGCTCTGGAACTCTTTCCCAACTAAAGTAAAACAATCAACCTCAATCTCTTACATAAAATTTTATTTGGACAGTGAATTTTAATTCTGATTTATTAATTTATTTGATTAGTCTCTTTAATTCTGTTCTATTTCCTACTCTTCTTTTTATTAGCTTTGGCTAATTTCACATAAAAAAATAACAATTTTTATATTTAAAAAGATTATTATTATTGTTCCTGTTAGATGTACAGTTCTTCTTCTTTGATTTGTTCATGTGTCTCATCTATTGTCATGTACTACCAAATGTAAATTTATATAATAGTCACACTTGATTACAATAAGATACTCTTAAGTGTGTGTATGTAGATACTTACCTCTTGATCATTGTGCATTATTGATACTGGTTCATCATATACTACATCAATACCTAATGATTCAAAGCAAAGTCACATTATGCTTAATAGACTCTATTCACATAGATGTACAATCAATTCTATCATTAATGACACACAGTTACTTTCTATGCATCATCTCCATACACACTTTACATACTTTT